ATTACGACTACTACTACTACTACTACTACTACTACTACTACTACTACTACTACTACCACTACTACTACTACTACTACTACTACTACTACTACTGCTGCTGCTGCTGCTGCTGCTGCTGCTTCTGCTGCTGCTGCTGCTGCTGCTGCTGCTGCACCACAGCCACCATCATCCACCATCATCATCATCATCATCATCAGCATCATCATCATCAACAGCATCATCATCATCATCATCATCATCATCATCATCATCGTCAGCATCATCATCATCATCATCATCATCATCATCACCATCTTCATCAGCATCATCAGCATCATCAGCATTATCACCACCAGCATCAGCATCAGCATCATTATCATCATCACCATCATCGTCGTCGTCGCCGTCGTCGTCGTCATCACCGTCACCAACGTCATCATCATCATCATCACCATCATCATCATCATCATCATCGTCGTCACCGACGTCACCGTCATCACCATCATCATCATCATCATCATCATCATTATCATCATCATCATCATCATCATCATCATCATCATCATCATCATCATCATCATCATCATCATCATCTTCATCATCGTCAGCAGAAGCAGCAGCAACAGCAGCAGAATCGTGATCGTGCTCGTGATCTCTATCAGTACTAGCATCATAACCATCATCAATATCATCGTCGTCACTAGCATCATTATCACGCCCATTATCAGTATCAGCACCATCATCGTCATCCTCATCATCCTCGTCATCATCATCAGCAGCATCATCATCAGAATCAGCATCATAGTCATCACCAACATCATCATCATAATCATCATCGTGGTCATCATCAGCATCATCATTATCATCATCATCATCATCATCATCATCATCATCATCATCATCATCATCATCCTCGTCATCATCATCATCATCATCATCATCATCAGCGGCACCATCATCCTCGCAATCATCACCATCCTGATTCATCACCATGCGCCGCCTAGACAATATCTCTCATCATGCACCGTCTCATCATGCTCCTGCTACTGCTACTGCTTATTGCCCGCACCTCTCTTGGGCATCATCCTCATCATTATCCTCATCTTCTTTATCGCCCACCATGATCAGCGATGACTGATCTGATTCCTCATCCTCTTCCTCCTTCCTCATGCATCCTCTTAAGCCATTCGTTAATCCTTCTCCTGCATGGTCACCCTTCTCCACTGCCTCCTCCTCCTCCTCCCGAATCCTCCTGTCCATCTTCACTCCTCCTCCTCCTCCTCCTCCTCCTCCTCCTCCTCCTCCTCCTCCTCCTCATCCTCATCCTCCTCTACTACTCCTCCTCCCCCTCCTCCCCCTCCTCCTCCTCCTCCTCTTCCTCCCTTGCCTTCTCCTCCCTCCTCCTCCTTCTCGTCCTCCTCCTCCTCCTCCTCCTCCTCCTCCTCGTCCGCCTCCTCCTCCTCCTCCTCCGCCTCCGCCTCCGCCTCCTCACACCCTACCCCTCTTCTTGTAGATAACTCCTCCTCTCCACACCACTCGACGTCCTTCGGTGGGAAAGCCTGGGCGCGCCGCTGACCACGAAGCGAGGGGGAGGCTCTCGTCGGTCTTAGGAGGCGTTCCTGGCCCGGGCTGCGTGCCTGCGGCTGCGCCTCGCCGAGAGCGCTCCAGGGGTGCCCGAAGCCTCCCGAACGGCAGGCGGAGACCTAAGGTAGGGCCCCAAGCCACGGTCAGGGTCCAGTTTGATCCGACCGATCCGATGCGATAATCGTCGATCCTGGCCGGCCCGCTTCGATCTGATGCCGATGTGCGTCTGGCGATCCGGTGCGGCCTGGTGCTTGCGTGGCGATGCCACGCATCTTAACGCAGCCGATCCGATTCGATCTCGGTTCCTTGCCGATGCGGCCCGATCCGGCGCGCGTTCCGATCCGATTCGACTCCCAAGGCTCGATGCGGACTGATCCTGAGGCTCAAGGAGGACGGGGGCGATATGAGGAAGGGTCCCCTTCCCCTTGCACCTTCCGTCGGGGAAATCGGAATTACATGGTAAGCAGAAGGGGAAGGAGAAAAGGAAGGGAGAGGGGATGGGGGGCGAGACTGGGATGGGAGGGAAATCGGGGAGGGGGGAAGGCAATTGGTAGGGATAGGGCGCGGGGAGGGTGGGATGAGTACGAAAGGGTTCACGGGAGGGCTATGGAAAATAACGTGTAACTCTGTGTTGACTCTACTTGACCGTCGCGAACGAAGAAAAGGAGGAGGAGGAGGCGGAAGAGGGTAAGAAATGAATGCGGAATGACCAGAATAAACCGCAGGGTCCAGCCCCAGTTGTCCTAACAATCCTTCCCTCAGAACAAATTCTGTACCATTTGAAACATGATACCCTATAGGCCTGCAAGCTCAAGCGAGAGCACTGGCTGGAAACACGGGTGCTGACTTGCATTCTTCTAGCGAGTAATCCCGAATCCGAAATCGCATGATCATGCAATCCACCGAAGTGTCGAGCGAGATTCCCGTTTAGAAAAAATGCTGCATTTGTATGTGTGTATCGTGGCATCGCTCGGACCTGTGCACCTTTCCTCAGCGACCATCGATGCGCATCTTAAATCATATAACGGGTCAGGTCGTTGTTTTTCCATCGCGGCGCGGCAGGGAGATCCGCTCGCGCGTCCAAGCAAACTGGGCCACGGCATTGCGAATTGTCCCGCACGCAAGAGGTAGAGAGGGGAAGAAGAGAGCCGACCGCAGAGGCACGAGGAGGAAGGCGCACTCACGCGGCGAGGCCGCGGGGGGCGCGCGGGGCAGTCAGGTCGCAAGGCAGCCCCTGGCAGCGAACGCGGGGCGGCGTCGCGGACGCACCCAGGGGAGGAGCCGGCAGCCGCAGTGCAACGCGGGGCCCAACAAGTGGAGGGCAGCAGAGGCAGCGGGCCGCCAAGGGCAAGAGCTGGGGGCGCCGGTGGCGGCAGCGTGGACCGGCGGCGGCGGGCTGGGCGCGAGGCCTAGCGAGGTGACCCGCGGCGACAGCGAAGTGCGACTGCAGCGCCAGGGGGAGAGCCGAAGAGGCCAGGCGAAGCAGAGCGCTGGGAGAGCGCCGACGCCCAGGAACCGCCGAGCGACGCATGGAAACCCGCAAAGGCAAGGGGCGGTGGTGAGGGGGGCGACGAGGCAGAAAGCCGAGCCGAAGGCTGGTGCACGCATCACAGCCACGGACTGGGCGGCGCCCAGTGGAAGCGGCGACAGGGCGCGGGCTCCTGGCGGGGCTGGGAGGCAAAAACAAAGGGGGAGGTAGGGCGCCGCAACGGAAGTGCCCCCCAAGTTGGGGCAGCGCGTGCTGCCAGCAGGGGCGGCGGCCAACCTGCGGGGCCCGTGGCCGGCGAGGCGGCGAGCGCGCCAAGCTGGCAAGGGCCGGAGGGGCCCAGGGCGGAGCGCGCTTCGCAGCACTCCAACTGCGGGCGGCGCGGGGGCGCGCAGCCGCGACGGCGGACGCGCCGCTCGCGGAGGCCAGTGACCCGCAGCCGGCGCGTGAGCAGGCGACCGCGAGCTGGGCAAGTCCTCGGGCAGCGCGAGGCGCAGCACCTGGGCGGGCAGCTGCGCCCGCGAGGAGGCGGGGCGCAACATCTTGGGCGAACGGCGCGCAAAGCGGGCGCCTGCGGTGCGCACACCGGTTTTCGCCGCCGGGGGGGCGGGCGGGCGGGGGCGCCTCACCTGGAACAGATGACGCGCAGGGGCCAGGCGGGGCGCGCCGCCCGGGGCGGACGACGCCGCGGGGACGCACCTAACAGGTGCACAGACAGGTTGAAAGAAACTAGGGCAAGCCCACAGCGGCCGGCGCACCACCCGGGGTGGATGGCGCGCCTGGGGGACCGAAAAGCGGCGCACCACCTGGAGAGGGAGGCCCGCCGCGCGAAACGCACCTGACAGGTGCACACACAGGTGGATCAGGACGCGGTGACACGCCCAGTGAGTCCAGGTAACAAGAAGGCCATCGTTGTCTGTCGCCCCTCGAGTCCACGTAGCTGGGAGCGGTCCCCAGTGGGCCAGGTTGCCTCGCCGGGACGCTTGCCTCCTTGGCTCTTCCCCTCAGCCCCTTGGCTCTGGCGGCTCTGCTGATGCTGCCACGCCGCGCCCTAGTCGACATCCAGGTTGCGGCTGCGGTAGAAGGTGCGGAAGTCGCACTGGACGTCGGCTGGGTCGCCCATGAATGAAAGTGCGCTGAATTCGCCGAAGCCGCGCAAATTGCAGGTCCACTTTCCCATGGGCCCATGGGACTTCCCGCCTCTCTGGTCGCAGGCCCTGTTCCAGCTCCCAACGAAAAGCGCACCGCAAGCAGCACTCAGACGGTTGATGACTTCGGGCCAGGTCTCAACCCTGCCATCCCTTTCTCTCCGCTGCGGTGCCCACTGAATGCCGACACTGCAGCGCCCACCGAATGTCGCGTCTGGGTGTCTTGCGCAGGCGATCCTGTGCTTCGTCCCGTTCGCTCCGTCCCGGGGCCTCTCTCGCCGCTCCCCAGATTCCCCGGCCCCGCGACCGCCCCCGGTGGCTGCCCCGACCCCAGGAGCTCCCCTGCGAGCATCCGCCAGCCCACTCAGACTCAGCCCGAGTCGCCCGCGTCAAGTCGCTGAGCCAGCGGCGGCTGGTGTCGGGCAGTGGCTGCGGCGGGCAGGCGTCCGGCAGGGCTGGCATCCAGGTTCCGTCCCGAAACTAGGTTCCCAGGGCGCCAGTTTCCAGCTGCGGCACCGGCGCCGATGATCTGGCTGCGTGCCCTCTGCGGGACCTGGCTTGTCCGAGGACCTGTCCGCCCTCGCCTGGGCGCTTCTGGTGGCTTGAGGGGACCGCCTCCTTCGGGTAGCTGGAGGGCTACCATCCGCCATGTCCTTGTCTGCTGTGGGGCCAGAGCACCTCCGTTTGCCAGTGGAGCCCGCCTGTCTTTGCCCGCCTGTGTGGCTGAACGCACGAGACTGACAATTGCACGGGGAATGGACGTCCGAGCGATGGCAAGTTCACAAGCGTACACTTTCATGCACTTCGGGGAAGCCTCAAGCCAAGATCCCCATGTTGAAAAAGAACGGCCCTCCATCCTTGCAACTGTTGCGCTTTCAAGAAGAGTATGCGCAACGCCAAGGCGAGAGCTCCATTGTGGAAACCTCCCGCCCTCCCTCCGCGTAGCTGTTGAGACTGTCAAGCAGACGAGAGCTCCATTCTGAAAACCATCCAGCCTCTCCATCGTTGAGACGAACGTGTGCGGCGCCAAAACAAGAGCTTCCTTCTGAAGACGGCCCACCCTCCATCCGTGTAATTGTTGGGCAGCTCGAGCCTCGGGCAGGGGGCGAGGGGCGCTGGCTCCCCAAAGGTCTGAACCAGGGCTGGACCTGAACGTTGTTTTTCGTTTTGTGATCGTTTTGTTGTTCGCTTTGCTCTACCTGCTTTCCTGTACGTAACTGCCAAAACGGAAAATTTAACACAGCCGAAGACCAGCAAAACAGCGTTTAGGTACAGCCCTGGTCTGAATTCCTTCCCAAGGACGAGCTGCTCTTTCTGAGCACCTTTGCTCACGGTGCCGGGGCCCGGCGAGGACCCCCAGAGACCCAAAACGAGCAAGGCCGTGCCTCGTGGACTCCTCCCCGCCCACCGGAGGAAGGAGGGAGGAGGGAGGAGGGAGGAGACACGAGGGAGATGGAGGAGGAGGAGGAGGAAGAGGAGGAGGAGGAGGAGGAGGAGGAAGAGGAGAAGGAGCACCAGGGAAGAGGAGAAGGAGGAGGAGGAGGAGGAGGAGGAGGAGGATGAGGAGAGGGAGGAGGAGGAGGAGGAGAAGGAGGAGAGGAGGGAGGAGGGAGGAAGGAGGAGGAGGACGGAGGAGGAGGAGGGAGGAGGAGGAGGAGGGAGGAGGAAGGAGGGAGGAGGGAGAGGAGGAGGAGGAGGAGGGAGGGAGGAAGGAGGAGGCAGGGGCGCCGGGGAAGGAAGGGGCCACCGCGCGGCGGGCAGGCGGCGCCGGGCGACGGCCGGGCGAGACCTGGCCCAGGCCCTGGAGCGAGCTGTGGTGCATCAGCTCCTCGTTCTTCAGCCTCCGGGCGCGGGGCCCGAGCGCCAAAGTGCGCGGCAGGCTCCCCAGACCCCCTTCGCGCTGCGCGAAAAATCACGACGGTGAGTTTTTCGCTGTTTTCGGCCTCTGGGGGCCCTCACTGGGCCTCGGGACGGTCAATAGACGACTCGGGATGAGAAACGGGTCCTGGGGAATGGGTCCAGACCTTCTTGGGGGTCGCGTCATGAGAAAATCATTGCGTCGGGGTTTGGGTCAAGAATCAAGCGGGTTTGAGCTTCTGACTGCCTCGACCACCCCAACCCGAGCCGCGAAGACCCGAATTTCGGTTTGGGGGTGGGGGGTCCGGGCAGATTGGGAACTTCGGGCTGGGTCGGGGTGGTCTGGTGGGTGGTGAAGTTCGGGGTTCGAAGTTTCAGGACGTGTTCGCTGGTTCTCGGCGGACTTCCAGCCTCGGGGTGCTCTCCAGCAGCTGCGCCTCGCCAAGAGCGTTCCGAGGGGCGCCCAGATCGTCCCGAACGTCCGCCCGAGAGCCGAGGTATGACCTGGATGCCCAACGATCTCTTCACTCTCAGCGTTTTTCCTCGGTGTTGACCTCAGGGAGCAAGCCGGGCCCCGGGGCCAACAAAAAAGGATCCGGGATCCCCGGGGCCAACAAAAGGGTCGGGATCCCTGGGGCCGCGGCTTGAAGAATCACTTAGGCGGTTGCCAGGGGATCAGTCGGCATCCTAGGTCACCCAACGTCGCGCACTGCGCCCCGCGCTGCACGACGCGCAGTTGTCTTCGCGCCCTGGAGCCCCCCCGCCGCCCCCTCGGAGAAGGGCGGCCGCTCTGGCCCAGTCCTCGCTCCCCCGAGAATGGCCTAGGCATCGTATCGGAAGATCAACTCGGATCGAAATCCGCGTCGGATCGGGACGCATCGGCAAGGGGGCCGAGACTAGAATCAGATCGGCTCCGCCAGCATGCACAACTGCGTCATGCGGGCGACGGGCTGCTACCTACTACTACTACTACTACTACTACTACTACTACTACTACTACTACTACTACTACGACTACTACGAGTACTACTACGACTACTACTACGACCACCACTACTACTACAACTACTACTACTAACACCACTACTACGACTGCTACGACTACGGCTACTACTGGCACTGCTGCTACTACTACTACTACTACTACTACTACTACTACTACTGCTACTACTAGTACTACCACTACGACAACGACTACGACCACCACGACGACGACGACGACGACGACGACGACGACGACTACTACTACTACTACTGCTACTACTACTAGGAATTCTTCTACTACTACTACTACTACTACTACTACTACTACTACTACTACTACTACGACCACCACTCAGACTACTATCACTACTACTACTACTACTACTACTACTACTACTACTACTACTGCTACTACGACTATTACTACTATTACTGCTACTACCAGTACTACTACCACTACTACTACGACTACTACTACTACTATTACTACTACGACTACTACTACTACTACCACTACTACTACTACTACTACTACTACTACTACTACTACTACTACTTCTACTAATAATAATACTACTACGACTACTACTACTAAACTACTACTACCGCTACCACGACCACTACTACCACTACTACCACTACTACACTAACACTATGACTATGACTATCCACTACTACTACGACTATACTACTCCCCTTCTGTTTTGCTACTACCCCTACAACGACTACCGTACTACTACCAAATACTACTACTCTACGACGACTACTACTACTACTACTACTACTCCTAACTACTACTGCTAACGACTACTACGACTAACTGCGGCTACTACTACTACTATACTACTACTACTAACTTCTACTACTACTAGCTACTACTACTACTACTACTACTACTGACGCCCACGATTAACCACCACCATACTACGCCTGACGACTAGTTCAACTACTGCTACTACATTTTGCACAAGCTGGCTACGACTATACTACAACTACTAACTACTACGACTACGACTACGACTACTACTACTACTACTACTACTACTACTACTACTACTATACTTCTACTACTACTACTACTACTACTACTACTACTACTACTACTACTACTACTACTACTACTACTACTACTACTACTACTACTACTACTACTACCTACTACCTACTACCTACTACCTACTACCTACTACCTACTACCTACTACCTACTACCTACTACCTACTACCGACTACCTACTACCTACTACCTACTACCTACTACCTACTACTACCTACTACCTACTACCTACTACCTACTACTACCTACCTACTACTACTACCACTACTACTACT